AATTGGGCATGAATTCCACATTACTTTTTTTCAGAATGTTAATTATTATTATTATTATTATATCCCCTATGAGATACAGTTACAAAGCTTTCCTTTTGAGTTTCAGTCATACAGTGATCAATCACCCAACCCTCCATCAGTGCACATCTCCCACCATCAAGGTCCCCAGTATTCCCCCCACCCTGCCTCTATGGCAGACAGTCTCCCCCATACTTTCTCTCGTATTGCTTATTATGAATAGCATAAGATGTCAGGCCACGCTCTCCTGGAATTCTAAACTTTTAGATGGTTAGGGTCTGGAGAAATTTCTGCAAGAGCTGCTCAGTTAGAAGATCCTTTTGGGGGCTGGAGCAATAGCACAGTGGGGAGGGCATTTGCCTTGCATGCGGCTGACCCAGGTTCGATTCCCAGTATCCCATATGATCCCCTGAGCACCCACAGGGGTAATTCCTGAGTGCAGAGCCAGGAATAACCCTTGTGCATTGCCAGGTGTGACCCCCCCCAAAAAAGCCAAAAAAAAAAAAAAAGAAGAAGATCCTTTTGTGTGTCTCTTGATCCTGGCCTTTAGGGAGCTTAAGTAGCAGCCAGAGGCAGTTTGTGGGTGTGACCTCTGGGACAGGAAATGAGAGGGACTGGCCCATCCCCTATCCCTTGAGGCCTGGAGTTTGCTATCACTGAACCCACGTACATGCACTTCTTACTAGGTTCTGGAAGTTGGTGGCCGCCAGGGTTCTTAGGGGGCAGGTGGAGAGATGACCTCTGGGCCACCCCGGTGAGGTCGGCCTGGCTTAAAGTCTAGGATCATCTCTGCAGCGAGCTGCTTGGTTTGGAGATTCTTGTGTGTGTCTCTGAATCATGGCCCTTGTTTCCATCTTTTCCAGAGAAATAAACTTTTGGCATCTGCCCTGCAGGGCGCTCCCACATGCCCACAATGTGCTGCGTCACCGGCCCTAACCGCGGCTTTTGAACTCTTTCCGCATTTATGGGTCTCTGAAATGAGGCCAATAAAAGAGCTTGTCTAGCTGAGCCAGAGGTGGTTTGTGGGTGTGGCTCCCACATACCTAACTTTCGGCTGCTTAATTTCTTGGTAAATCTTGGACCCAAGTTGTTGGGATCCGGCCAAAGGCACAGCGGCAATTTTGGAGTATCAGAAAGTCTGATAGCACCTTCAGGCTACTTGATGCACTCACACGCAGGTACAGATTGTACTGCTGGCGGCACCATACCCAACATGAACATTTTTAATAAAGAAAGCTATTCAGCCTCCACCAGAAGGAAAAGAAGTCAAAGACTATCAGGGTGAATTGGACCTTAGCAACTTGATTGTTGTCCTCTTTCTTCCTGCTACCTCGGCTGTAGATGGGGAGGCTGGGCCCAAAGAATGAAGCATGCTGAAAATAGACTATAGACCAAACATGATTGTCACCCATTGCCTCTTTTGCAAACCACAACACCCAATATGAGAGAGAGAACAAAAGGGAATGCCCTGCCACAGAGGCAGGGTAGGATGGGGGGTGGGGGGTGGGAGGGATACTGGGATCCGTGGTGGTGGGAAATGGGCGCTGGTGGAGGGATGGGTATTTGATCATTGTATAATTGAAACCCAAGCACAAAAATTTGTAAGTCTGCAACTGTACCTCATGATGTCTCACAAATAAATAAATAAATAAATAAAAGGAATCAATACATTATGACCCAAGTTGGAGGGTAGAACCAGGACCAAACCACAGGTGTTCTGGCACTTGAGTCAAAGAGTCTTCTAGAAGCTGATGATAGCAGGATGGAAAATAAGAACTCTTTCTGGGGCTAGGAGATCATCCAGCAGGTAGGGCACTTGCCAAGCATGTTCCTTACCCAGGGTCCATTCCCAAGCATCATCTTGCATCACCCGAACTCCCAAGCACCACCAGAGGCACCCAGATATCCCAGACACTGTAGGGCCCAAGCAGCATTGCATCCTCACGCCTTTACATCGAACCGATGTTCCAGTTTCCTGTGAATCACTCTTGGGATCTCAGGACCTCCTGAACCCCTCTTGGGATCCCCCCCCCACACACACACACAGAAAATAAGAACACACTAGTTATCTCTTTAGTTATTAAATCATCACTTGTGAGATGCACCTTTCCCTGAGTGTTGGCTCACATTTGTAGCTCCTCTTGGTCTGACTTCTTTGGTTTGGGTAAAAAGAAAGCATTGGAATGGAGTAAAAAGATCTCTGCAGGAGTTTAAGCCCCTACCCTTCCCTTCTGATAGTTTCATCTCTTGCCACCCACTCATTGGACCTGCATCCGTATTCAAATAGCACCACAGTGAATAAGTTCCAATATGTACTAGTTACTCAGTGAGCCTAAGATACAGGCCCTCCCTGCCTGAAAGAGGGACAGAGACCAAAAGAGAGATAGAGATCCTTGGGCAAGTGTGCCCCATTCAACCCCCCTTGAAGGCTCCAAGTCCTCCCCACATGATGGAATGATCCTGGAACGGGAAGTACCTAGATTCTGGCCATTTCTTCCAGAAACGAGAGAGAAATTGGGAACCATGGTAGTCAATTAGCATGATCAAAATAGTATAATGGGTAAAGGGCTTGCCTTGCATGTGGCTGACCCAGGTTTGATTCCAGACCCCCCATATAGTCCCCCTTAAGCCATTCCAGAAGTGACCCCTGAGTGAAGAGCCAGGAGTAAGCCCTGAGCACTGATGGTTGACCCAAAAATTTTTTAAAAAATTAAAAATGTTTAGAATAATCATATCACTTGGAATTTGTTCCAAGGAAGACTAGAGTTATAACCCTGTGCTCAGATATTCAGCACCAGGAAGGCAAACCCACTGCCACCTGGTGGTCCATCTTCCTGTGAGGGTACGAGAGTCTACTCCCTTTTATCCCCAGTGCTTCTTCAGATCTCTTTCTTTGGCCGAGACAGGGGTCACTCCTGGAAGGGCTAGCGGGAACCATATGGAGTGTCAGGGATCAAACCTGTCTCATCCATCCTATAAGGAATCAATTCAGTTCAGTGTACTGAGTGTGGAATGAGTTTTATAGGATCAAACGCATACCATCTGACACCATAAATGGGTGACCTGGGATCCCTATTAGTATCTCCACATCACAAGGACGACAACCTTCTACAACAAGTGAACACCTTGCCAGGTAGAGAATCTAAAAAAGAAAAAAAAGAAAGAAAGAAAGAAAGAAAGAAAGGAAGGAAGGAAGGAAGGAAGGAAGGAAGGAAAGAAAGAAAGAAAGAAAGAAAGAAAGAAAGAAAGAAAGAAAGAAAGAAAGAAAGAGAAGAAGGGGCTGGAGCGATAGCACAGCGGGTAGGGCATTTGCCTTGCAGGCAGCCGACCCTTGTTCGATTCTCAGCATCCCATAGGGTTCCCCAAGCACTGCCAGGAGTAATTTCTGAATGCAGAACCAGGAGTGAGCCCTGTGCATTGCCAGGTGTGACCCCAAAAAAAATATTTTTTTAATGAAAAAAAAATATTTTTTAAGTTTCTTTAATAAGAAAGCCCACGTTTTCATTTTGCACGAGGTCCCACAGATGATACAATTGACCTAGAGTAGACAGAAGATGGACAGGTGAGGAAATATAGGCTTTAAGGAGTGTCTTATGCAGAGTTAAGTCTTCACTTTGGAGCCAGCAGTGAAGCATTTACTTTGCACATGGATGAACCCGATTCCTGCTCCAGTGCTACATATGATGCCCTGAACACTGACAGGGATCACTCCAAAGCTCATCACTGAGCCAAGACTCATCACTGAGCACACCTAGGTGTGGCCCAAAAACAAACAAAAACAATCCTTCCTTTTATAGACCATATTTGGCAAACGTTGTCATTATTTTACCACTTGCAAGCTAAAGGGTCTCTCTTGCAACAATTCAATTTTGACACTATAGTGCAAAAAGCAACCGTAGAGGATGCATAAACAAATGGCGGGGGCTGTGTGCCAATAAAGCTTTATTTACAAACAGGCAATGGTCAGAGTTGGCTGGTGGGCCACAATTTGCCATTCCTTTTGCAGACAAAGGGGTAGTCGTGGAAGACACCAGAGCAACAGAAAAGAGGGTCAGAAGTTTCCAGAAAGTCATGTTTGCATCCCGTGATCAGGAAAGTCATCCAAAAGCAGGATTTCTAGAAAAGGGATTGTGGCAATTCTCAAAGCATGAGACAATAAGGGAGCAAGACTCAGTAATCACCACAGGTGCCAGAGGTATGAACAAGAGACCGCAATGCCCTATATGATCATTGCAGCACTGTTCACAATAACCAGAATCTGGAAACAACCCGAGTGAGTGCCGGAGAACAGACAACTGGTTAAAGAAACTTTGGTACACCTGCACAGTGGAGTACTATGCATCTGTTAGAAGAGATGAAGTTATGAAATTTGCTTATAAGCGGATGGACATGGAGTGTATTGTGAGTCAGAAAGAGAGGGACAGACACAGAATGACTGTACTCATTTGTGGAAAATAAAATAATATGAGACTGACAACCAAGGACAGTAAACACAAGGGCCAGGAATATTGCCCCATAGTTGGAAGCCTGTCCCATGAGCTTGGGGAGAAGGCAGCTGGAATAGAGAAGGGATCACTAAGTCAATGATGGTTGGAGGGATCGCTCGGGATGGGAGATGTGTGCTGAAAGTAGATAAAGGACCGAACATGATGGCCTCTCATTATGGTATTGCAAACCATAATGCCACAAAGTATAGAGAGAGAGTATGGGGAAAATTGTCTGCCATTGAGCCAGGGGGAGTGTTGGAAAGGGGTGGGTGGGGGGGAGACACTGGAAACATTGGTGGTGGAGAATGTGCCTTGGTGAAGGGATGGGTGTTTGATTATTTTATGATTGAAATTCAAACATGAAAGCTTGTAACTGTATCTCGTGGATCTCATGGCGATTCAATTTAAAAAATAAGAATTAAAAAAAAGGCACCACAATGCCTCCTGGGTGTCAGCACTGAGGTGAATCACACCATCTGGCCCCTTTCCCCTCAGAGGAGAGGAAGAGCAGGAGGAGGATCCGAACCACCTTTACCACAGAGCAGCTGCATGAGCTGGAGAAGATCTTCCACTTCACCCACTACCCGGACGTCCATACCCGCAACCAGCTGGCAGCCAGGATCAACCTGCCGGAAGCACGGGTGCAGGTACCACCAACCCCTCCCCCACCCCCAGGGATCCTGGTCCCTCTGAGGTTGCTCCATCACACGCTCTTCTATCCCATGAGCACTGTACTAGCCAAAGATCACAGTTTTGAAAAGATGGCCTTGCTCTTTGAGGGGATGGCAGTGAGAGATGGCAGCATCCTAGGTGGGCACAGAGTAATAGCTCCGGAATGTCACCCACCATGACCATCTAGATCAGAGGACAGTAAGGTCAACCAATGTGTTCTGTTAAGGGTCAGAGGGTAATTATGGGAAGCCTGGGGGAGGGGTGGGCAAAATAACATCACTGTGGCAACTGCACATCTCCCCAGAATGCCAAGGCAGGGACCAGAGTGATAGTACAGCAGGGAAGGCGTTTACCTTGCACACGGCCAACCCAGGTTCGATTCCCAGCATCCCATATAGTCCCCCAAGCACAGCCGGGAGTAATTCCTGAGTGCAGAGCCAGGAGTAACCCCTAAGCATCACTGGAGACCTAAAAAGCGAAATAAATAAAGATTGAAAAAGAAGAAAAAGACCACGCAGAATGCCAAGGCACTCACAGCTCCTTGGACAACAAATGAACATGGCAGAATTCCAAGAAAACATTATTGGAGAACAGCAAAATCCAAACTTGGTATAATTCACCATGATCACAAGATAGTGTTCCTTCACTTTTTTTTTTAACTCCCCAGTCATTTACAGACATGAAACTGTTCTTACCTCCTAGACCCAATCACGCAGGGTGGGACGACAGATTGAGCCCACCAGAGTTGCTGAGCCAACCAATATCTCAAGGATGGGCAATAGCTTTGGAGAAGGCAGAGAGGAATGAGAACAGTCTGGGGTCCATAGACACATCATCATCTGGTTGATGTGCCACTAGCCTTGTGTATAACCTGTAATCTCTCTCACACACACACACATACCTGCCCTGCCACCAACTACAACCATAGCTTCGTCTCTGTGGCACTGTCCTCCCATTGGTCATCGTTTGCTCAAGAGGGCACCAGTAATGTCTCCATCATGAGACTTGTTACTGTTTTTGGCATATCGAATATGCCACGGGGAGCTTGCCAGCTCTGCCGTGCGGGCAGGATACCCTCGGTAGCTTGCCAGGCTTCATCTCTAGCTAAAGAAATTCAGAACCAGCCTCTTCATGGGGGCATGTTGGTGTCCTGCCTTTTCACATATCCCCAGTTTTGCAAAGCAACTCCAGCGCCAATGGTTGCGTTCTTGGTCCACTCACCAGAACAATGGTCTAAGTCCTTTCATTTTCTCTCAACAAACGCCATCAATTCATTTCAACGTAAACCCTGAACCTGAAGAGCATCCCACTCGTTATTTCCTTCTGATCTATCTTTTTTCTAGCTAACAGCCCCCACTCCCCCAACGTAGCCTTCTCCCCTCCCTCCTTTGCTTCCCACTTGGACTCAGTGACCCACTACGTCAGCAGCACTCACGGCTGCCTCAGCAGCAGGACCAAGTACAAAGGGTCACGTGTCATAGACAATTAGGAACTCCAGCTTTCAGGAAACTCCTCATGCTCCATCTGTAGATGCCCAGGGGCCCTCAGGGGTGGCAAACCCATGACAAGCCAGCAGAAAACAGCCCACCAGTGGGTTTTCATTAGGTCTGCCTGATCCTGGACATCCCTTGAAGCTTTTCCCCTAAAAAAAAATAAATAAATCAAGATTTTGACCTTGGAAATAGGGTGGGACCACAATCCTGGTACCTATGGGCTAAAGTAGGGACAACTTGTGCACGGACCCCACCTAAAACTTTTCAGCTTTGCAGATCCAATCACTCTACTTCTGAATGAGCCCTACACACCCACCCACCCACCACCTCTTATAGACACTGCACCAGATGACAAGAAACCCTGCATGCTAGGACATTGTCTCTACTGCAGGAAGGACCTTGGGGTGGGGGGTGGGGGGTGGGGGGTTTAGCCTTAAGGTGGAAAAACCCTTTCTGCTTCTCTCCGCTCTCTCTTGCTCTCATCTCAGATCTGGTTCCAGAATCAACGCGCCAAGTGGCGGAAGCAGGAGAAGACCAGCAGCCTGGGGACACCCCAGAAACTGAGTGAGGCCACCAGTCCGGATGTACGTGTGAGTGATCGAGACCCCCACGGAGGGGCTGGGAGGAACCTCAGGCAGGACTCCAGCCAGACCCAGATGTGAGAAGGGCGGGACCCCACGGACGGTAGCAGTGACAAGGGTTGGGATCAGAGAGATACTACAAGGTGCTAAAATGATTGCCTGTCACGCCGCAGACCTGGGTTAGATCCCCAGCACTGCATGTGGATGGTCCCCTGAGCACCATCAGGAGTGATCCCTGAGCACAGAACTGGAAGAAAGCCCTGAGCATCACCTGGAACGGCCTCGAAACCAAAATAAATATAACAATGTCTTTAAGTGCTAGGGGAGGTTCTTTGAGAATGGGTTTGAACAAGGAAGTGCTGGGAATCTGAGGGGCCTGGGCCGGATGTTATGTCTCTCTGTTCCCACGTTTCCAACTCCCTAGATAATTATCCCAGTGCCTCGCCTTCCTTTGGGGTGTGGCCTGCTTTACCTGTGCACAATTTCGAGAGTCCAGAAGAAGGGCACAGAGTAAAGGATACTGCATGACAGTCAAGCCCAGGGGCTCTGGAATGGGGTGGGGGAGCCGTTTGAACCCAGATCTGCACTCTGCAAGGTTAGAGCGACCATGTCCCTCTGAGGACAGGAATGGGGTCCTGATGAGGTACAGATGGGGTCTGGGTGGGCTGTTTCCCATAGTGGCTGAGAAAGAACGAGTGTTTGGCTCCGAGAAAGAACTCCCAAAGCGTTAGCAGTCCGACTTCATGCCCACCCACATACCAATGCATGCCAGATGCAAACAAATAGAATAAATGACCGGTCCCAGGGCTTCAAGATCTGGAGGTGGGGGCATGAGCCAGGAGCTTCTAGCCCACACTGGGGTGTGCCAAGGCTGAAGGTGCCACTGAGGACAGGGTTTCTGACCCCTGACAGGCAGCTCACCCCAAGCTGAGCCCCCTCCCCACCCCAGCTGCCCCAATCTCGAGGGAAGGGCTGGGAAATTGCACAGAACAGCCCTGCCCGGGGCCAAAACTCATGATTCTCTCCTGCCCTCTTGTCCTGAACAGTGTCCCTTGCTGCCGGGGTCAGCTCCCTTCACCGGGTGCTATCAGCCTCCTCGAGGTCAGCTGGCCTCCATCTGGTTCCCGGCCAGGCTCACCGTCCTCCCGTGCCACCCCTGGGAGGCGACGCCTCTCCTGGGCCCCCTCGTCCAGCCATCCTGCGTGTCCACGCTCTGCTTCCTGCCCCTCCCCCACCCCCAGTGGGGCAGCGCCTGTACCGCGTCCACCTAGCGAACCCGGGACCCGGGAAGCGGAAATGCCTTCCCAGGAAAGGCAAGGCGTGAGAAGGCGCATAGACTACTCAGCATCACTACCCAAAGATGCCCACTGCCCAGGAGGATGCTCTGGGCATCCGAAGAACCCCCACAGGCACAGAGGCAAGGACACCCCCTGTGAACAAGCCTCTCGGATGCTGCCAGTGGACACGCCAGGAAGAAACCGTTCTCAGCCTGAGCTTGGCCAGAGAACGGCAGATGGTGCAGGCAGGATAACGCACTCATGACACACCTCAGTAGGTCACTGCAATTCAGCAACGAAGAACCAGAAAGAGTCTTCTCTCTTCCTCCCCTCCTGGTCAGAGGACAGAAGCCACACCTGAGCTCAGGATGAGCCCTGGAACCAGGGGGTCACCGTCCCTCACCTGAGCTTCCCCCGCCTGGCACCTTGACATCCCTCTGGACCTCACTTGCAACTGGAGGCAGTTGGACAAGATCTACAACAGGTAGAGAGATGATGTAGGAGCTTAATTCCCACTTCCATGACGCAAAGATCAAGGTCCTGCACCAGCGTTGCCTGGAACTGGATTTCCACAGGAACGCCTGAGTCTGCCCCTCTCTGAGAACGTTGGTGGAAGGGACCGTACCCACCAATCCCCGAAAGTGGAATAGATGCTCCAGACGCAGTGCTCGGAGCCCACATCGTACACAGTTTTGCATAGCTGTGTGTAAATATCCTTGAAGTGAAAAAAGGACAGCGGCAGGGAAGGGGATGATGTTCATTTAAACAGGATTTATATTGTCGGGTTAGGGTGCCGCAGGGGGGTAGGGGGTGGGGGTGCTTTCATTAAAGATGGGAATGAAGAACCAAATGTTTCCCACTGGTTTGGAGTTCCGCCGCTGAACTGCATGAGGGGGCGGGCTGGGAGCCGGCTCTGTGGGCGGGCGGGAGGCTGGGGTTTCCCTGCGTTGGCAAACCACACACCAAACTTGAGTCCTGCTTCTCACATCTAAGAAATAGAGGAGCTATCCCCCTGCCCCACCACCTGCCACCCCCACTCTGCCTTTCAGAGCAGGGGTCTTGAAAGGAAAGGAAGGAAGGTAAGTCACAAACTGTGGGTAGGGTTGGCTTCACGGCAGGGATGTTGTTTTGGTTTAACGGGAGGTCAAACCCCACCATGAGGACCTCTGAGACCTGCCCGGGGTCTTGTCTCCGAGTTGGACACTCACCTCCACTCTAAGTTGGGAGTAACGGGGCCCCCATCCCGGCACCTCTGCAGCAGGCCTGTGTCCCTGACGCACCCATGGGCTCTCGGGAGTTGGACCTCCTGGGTAGGGAAGCACACCCTCTAAAGGATGGGGTGACCTCACCCTCTCCTCCCTCTGGGCCTTTGCATTCTCTTCTTCAAATTGAAGACTCCAGGCTATCGCTGCTTTCAAAAGGGGCCCCAGCCCAAACATAAAGTAACAAAATAGGAGACTAACACCCAAGAATGGCCGAGATTAGTACCAGGAATTTTGCTCCATGGCTTGGAGGCCAGCCACACACGCTAGGGGAAAAGGGAGCTCAGATAGAGAAGGGAGCACCAAATAAAGGGTGTTGGGAGGATCCTCCCAGGATGAGAAAAGTATGCTGAAAGTAGACTATAGACCAAACATAATTGTCACCATGTTTGGTCTATAGTTTTGCAAACCACAACACCCAATAGGAGAGAGAGAACAAAAGGGAATGTCCTGCCACAGAGGCGGGGTGGGACGGGGGGATGGGGAGTGGGAGGGATACTGGACTCCGTGGTGGTGGGAAATGGGCACTGGTGGAGGGATGGGTACTTGATCATTGTATAATTGAAACCCAAGCACAGAAATTTGTAAGTCTACAACTGTATCTCATGATGTCTCACTAATAAAAATTTTTTTAAAAAATTAAATTAAAAAATATATAAAAAAGGGGGTCCCAGCCCCCAAGACAGGGCTACAGAGATCGTCCAAGGGCTTCATGGCCAAGCGAGGTTCGAACCCCGGCACCCCCTGAGATCTCTGTAGCACATCCAGGAGGGATCCATGAGCACAGATCCAGGAGTAAGCCCTGAGAATGGTGAGCCCCTCCCCCAAACTACCAACCCCCTCCAAGTTCAGCAATGTTCTTCCTCTTTTTTTTTTTTTGGTCACACCCAGCAATGCTCAGGGGTTACTCCTGGTTACTCCTGGTTACTCCTGGTGGTGCACCAGGGGAGACCCTATGGGATGCCGGAATTGAATCTAGGTTCACTGAGTGCAAGGCAAATGCCCTACCCACTGTGCTATCGCTCCCGCATCAGGGACATTCTTCTCGATAAGCTCCAGTAATTCGGGACAAAAGAAGGCAAAGGCTGGGGGAGCCAGTACCCAGGAACCTCTTAAAAGTAGGTGCAGGCTGGAGCGATAGCACAGCGGGTAGGGCGTTTGCCTTGCACGCAGCCAACATGGCCGACACAGGTTCGATTCCCAGCATCCCATATGGCCCCCCGAGCACTGCCAGGAGCGATTCCTGAGTGCATGAGCCAGGAGTAACCCCTGAGCATCGCTGGGTGTGACCCAAAAAGCAAAAAAAAATTAAAAAATAAAAATAAAAGTAGGTGCTCCCAGTGGTTGCCTGTTTCACGGCCTTCAACTCAAACATGCAACGCAAAACTTCTGTTATCTCTATTTCCTTTCTGTGTTCTTGGAAATGTGTTCTAGTGTCTTCTTTGTTACAGATTTCCCGGGCACTTCTGATTTCAACTCAGGCACATTTTTGAGGGCTGGAGAGAGAGAGAGAGAGACAGAGACAGAGACAGAGACAGAGACAGAGACAGAGACAGAGACAGAGACAGAGAGACAGACGGAGACAGAGACAGAGACAGAGAGGGAGAGAGAGAAAGAGGAAGAGAGAGACAGAGAGAGAGGGAGAGAAAAGAGGGAGGGAGAGAGACAGAGACAGAGAGAGGGATAGAGAAAGAGGAAGAGAGAGACAGAGACAGAGGACAGAGAGAGAGGGAGAGAGGGAAAGAGAAAGAGGAAGAGAGAGAGACAGAGACAGAGAGACAGAAGACAGAGGACAGAGACAGAGAGTGAGGGAGAGAGAGAAAAAGAGGACGCGAGAGAGAGAGAGAGTATGTGCAGGGGTGAAGGCATGAAGCAGATCCCTGTTTCAACCCCACCCCCACTACTGCATATGGCCCCCTGAGCACAAAGCCAAGAGTACCCCCAGCATCCCAGGTGTGGCCCCAAGATCCCAATAAACAAACTGTCACATGCAGTGTGCGCCCCTCCACCCTCATTCCCTTCCTTCCTGCTGGGTCTTTGCTACCATGAGGGTGACTTTTTTTTTTTTATTAGTGAAACACCATGAGGTACAGTTGTAGACTTACAAATTTTGGTGCTTGGGTTTCAGTTATACAATGATCAAATATACCCCTCCCTCCACCAGTGCCCATTCTCCACCACCACTGATCCCAGTATCCCTCCCACCCCCCATCCTCCCCCCATCCCACCCTGCCTCTGTGGCAGGGCATTCCCTTTTGTTCTCTCTCTCTCCTTTTGGGTGTTGTGGTTTGCAAAAGAGGCAATGGGTGGCAATCATGTTTGGTCTATAGTCTACTTTCATCATGCTTCTCCCATCCTGGGAGGATCCTCCCAACACTCTTTATTTGGTGCTCCCTTCTCCATCTGAGCCGCCTTTTCCCCTAGCATGTGCGGCTGGCCTCCAAGCCATGGAGTAAGCCTCCTCATACTTATCTCGGCTATTCTTGGGTGTTAGTCTCCTATTTTGTTACTTTATGTTCCCCAGACAAACTTGCAGGACAAACTTGCAGGCTATCGAATGTAGCCTGCCCACAGGGCAGAGTCTGGCAAACTCCCCGTGGCGTACCAAATATGCCAAATACCAGTAACAATTATGGATCTCATTCTCCTAAAGAGCCTTGAATATAATCTCAGGACTAGGATGAAAGAGACGTTACTGGGGCCTGCTCGAGGCAATCGACGAATAACAGGATGATGAATGAATGAATGAATGTTCCCCAGGTGAATGCAATCTTTCTATGTCTATCCCATGAGGGTGGCTTTGGAGAAGTCTTTCTACAGAGTCCTAGACTGTCCCTGGAGCCACCGGAAAAATTCGAACCCGTCCTTATAGATGCCTGCTGGCCTCCATGAGCGTCGGCTACGCTGGCCTGGGACGTGCCCCCTGAGTCAGGACCTTCCCTCACCATGAGAGATACGTCAGGTCCTCTCTCCACCGTCCAGGTTATCACTCATGAGTGGGAGGAAACGTTGAAGTCCCTCCTCCCTCACAACCTCCAGGGTTATGGAAATCTACCCCAGGTACCAGACTCTTGTTTTAGAACTCTCAATGCCGTGGCTCAGGCCTGCTGACAGCCAAGCTTGCAGGTATCCAAACTTCCCCACGGAGTAGCTAGGCCCAGTCTCCTCTGCCCCCCCACATATATTAATCTGCATTCTCAAAAAAAAAAACACAAGCAATTGCATAATGTATTTTTAAAATATGTACTGTGTTCCTGAACTTGGTAAGATCCCCGTGGCGTATTCCATATGCCAAAAACGGTATCAACAAGTCTCACAATAGAGACGTTACTGGTGCCCGCTCGAGCAAATCGATGAACAACGGGAGGATAGTGCTACTACATTTTGTATATATCCTCTGAGCCTATATGATAGAATATACTATTGTACATGATACTTTGTATCCCACATAGATAGCTAGTACAAAGATAGATTTGCATATGCATATATATATATATATATATATATATATATATATAATGCAGAAACCGGGAGAAGCAAATTAATGATAAGGAAATGGCTCTTGTGGTTATAAAGACGGAAGAGAGCAGATGGTCTGGGCTTCCGTAGGACTCTGAAGGCAGGAGATCTACGCCCCAGCTCCAAGACGGTCTGGGAGAGCGAGTTCTCCCTCCCTCTGCCTTTATGTTCCACTCAGGCCTCAGACAGATTAGTTAGGGCCATCTGCTTTAC